AAACCATTTCAGGTGACTACCTCTTGAAGCTCATGGAGAGAATGCCAAGAGTGTGCAAAGCAGTAATCAGAGCAAAGGGTGGCTATTTTGAAGAAACTAGAATATAAAACATGTTTTCAGTTATTTCACCTTTTTTTGTTAAGTACATAACTCCACATGTGTTCATTCATAGTTTTGATGCCTTCAGTGAGAATCTACAATGTTAAATAGTCATGAAAATAAAGAAAACGCATTGAATGAGAAGGTGTGTCCAAACTTTTGGCCTGTACTGTATATACACACAATATATTAATTATTCTGATCATTTACACTTGAAACAGCTCGTCCTGCCTCTGAATATCCAATCAGAGGCAGTGTGAAGTCACGTTCCGACCCTTTGGGGCGATATCAGCCTGGCTGGAAATCGCCCCGACTCACTCTCATAGACTTTCATGTAAAAGGCTTTTTTTTTCTAAATGCAGGCACTCCAATGCAATCTCTATGGGTTCCAGGAGGGCTTGCCCCAACGTGTTTTCATCATACGTAAACCACCAAGTATCATTCATGTGCTCCTCGGATGGTCCGATTTCCTAGCCTGGTTCCAGACCATAGACCCCGCCCACTCAACTGAGTAGGCTTGCATCTCTGGTCTGGCATACTGCAATGAATTTGTGATTTATCTCATCCAAACGATGGAAGGACCAATGAATGCCGGGGGTGGGGGCGGGTCTAGCGATTAGCCAGTCAGCACCATGCTGATGTCAAGCTGTGCGCCGGTGGGTAACTGGTGAAGATAGCAACAATGGCGACCGCTACAGATCCTACAGACCACATTAACGATGCTATCGAGGTATTTTGCCACTACTCGTGTTAATGGAGGACCAAATTAAGGAAGCTGCTAAACTGGATTTAACGGCAGCTGGGCGTGCACGACAACGGAGACATTTTAAACGGGCAATGCTCGCTTGTTTTCGGCACCCCCGAGGCATGGATACTAATAACGTCAGATTCTGGGTGAGTCGTTGATCTCTACTGATTGGTTAGGGAAAAATCAAATTCCCTCCCCCTTGTAAATCGCCTTCAATGGAAATTGGTAGCCCGAGTGTCAGACTGAAGCTCCCAGAACCTTCAGTCTGACACTCGGGCTACCAATTTCCCATGTTGGGAAATCGTTCTTACTTCATGTGTGTTCATGAGCGTTTAAGATGTAATTTGGAGACAACATGGACATTACAAAGAAGATGAGTTGTATTTTATCACTCAAAATGTTTAAAAAACACATCGTCAACCGTTTCCACTGAAATATTGCTTTATGGTCGGAAACTTATTTTTCCGATTATTTCGACATCACATGAGGCAGCGCCACTGCGCAGCAGTCACATTCAAGATCAACATGGCTAAAGTTTCCAGGTTATCCAAGAGGCTTTTTAACCATATAGGTTATAAAGTAACGACGCATAGTGCGTCCAAATTAACACCCGTTCTTCTCTATGGATTTTCTCCGTGACCGTTAGCAAGAAGTCACACATATCACGTGAAACAGCGGAACCACAGCGCAGGACCAGAGCTTTCCAGTGATACCGCACACATCATTGTGCTGCCATCCCATCACACTATAAATACAGATCAATTGTCTACAAAATAAAAACCTGACAAATTTCTTTACAATCAATTATATAGATCTTGTTATCAGTCACTTAATATAGTGAGGAATATCGTATCTTACCATGTCTTAGGCTTGTATGTGTTTCTCCCTGTCTATCCACATTTGTAGTCCGGCTTTCAAGATGCAAATATCTCCATATTGTCCAGTTGACACTCCATCAAACTTTGTATGACAAGACCAGCACACTTCACCTTTGCGCACCCAGACAACTGCAGCCTAATTATGCATGCTGACAGGGCCGTAGTCACCATATACATTGAGGGGGACACGTCCCCCAATGCCCAAAATGCCCCCAAATATATAGCTGAAACTGAAAAACAACAACAAAAAAACATTCAGGTCAAAGAACAGAGATACTATGTGATGTGCATTGTATTAAGTTGTAGGGTATGCCTGCATTTCTTTATTTAATCAGAACACAAAATTAATTTCCACTTAGCTATAATGAAATGTTTTCTGATTAAGACTGACAATGACTCAGTGAATACCTTACTCAGTTTTATTTGATTAATGGTAAAACAGGTCTCTGTTCACATTCAAAGGTATTTGTGTGGGCAAACTGTTAAAAAGTAGTCTGTTGATGACCACAGTGGATTGTTCAGTCATTGTAGAGCCAAATTAATTCAAATTTACCCATTGAACGGGTCACCTCAGCGATCATCACAACAATTGCCCCCCCTACGAAAGTTGGCAGGAGCCGCCACTGGACAGGAGCTTAATATTGTTCATGAATTCAAGTATCTTAGAGTGACATATGACTATACTTTAACCTTTAAAAATCATGTAAAAAGGATGACAAATAAGGTCAAATTCAACTTAAAGAATTTTAAACAAGTTAAGCCATTTCTTAACACAAACGCTGCCGAGTTGTTTCTACACACTATGATTTTCACACATATTGAGTATTGTTTTACAAACTGGTCGTTGACTAGCATGACCATGCTTAAAAGTATTGAATCTCTTTTTAAGAAAGCTATAAAAATCTTTGATAAAAAAGCACTGTCATTTCACCACTGCAACATCTTAGAGAAAAACAACCTTTTGAGCTTTGAGAATTTTAAAAATTTTAAGTATGCTTGTTTGTATATAAAGTGTTAATCTTGCCCCTCCTCCGCTGAAAGACTTTTTCCAAAGACTTGAAAGCGGAGGAAGCACATGGGTATCTGTGAAGGGGGACTGTGTGATACCATTGAGACGTACTACTTTGGGACAAAATACACTGTCAGTGAAAGGAATTAAATTCTGGAATAGCTTACCTCTCACAATAAAAGAATGTCCCACATACAGCAACTTTAAAACTCACTTGAAACAGTGGCTCTTAGAAAACCAGAGCTGTACGCGCTTTGCCACATATTTCATTTTTAACCACATATTTACTGTACATTGAACTAAGATAAATATGGACGAATGATGTCCTTGTCATCATCTTGTGTCTTTTTTTCCCCTTATTATTATTTTTCTCTGTGGTCTTTGTCACCATTATGTGTGTTTTTTATATTCTTCTCCTTTGTCTTGTTAGATTTTTATCATGCTTGTGACTGAGTATTAAGGTGCTGTATGAGTGCAATATTTGCAAGGTGTATTTCCCACACTGATGTTCATATATATGCATTGTCCATATCAAATAAAACAATTAAAAAAAAGAAAGAAAAAGATTTTGTTTTTTTGTTATGAGTGACCAACTAGTTTTCGCTCTGGAAATAAACACAGTTATCTACCTATCTGCCTGTCCTCAGGTGACCCAGCAGAGACGGACTACACAGCAGTGGGCTGTGCTGTCACAACAATCTCCTCCAATCTGACAGAAATGTCAAAGGGTGTAAAACTTCTGGCAGCACTCATGGAGGATGAAGGAGGAAATGGGCAGCAGCTGTTGGGTGCTGCCAAGAACCTAGCTGGTGCCGTCTCTGACATGCTGAAGACTGCTCAGCCTGCAAATACTGAGGTACACAGCCACACTACAAGGGACATGGAGATATGTCATGTTAATTTCTTTTTTATTTTTCACGTTTGTATGTCATGTCTTTTGGTTCTAGCCTCGTCAAAACCTGCTGCAGGCTGCAGGAAATGTTGGCCAGGCCAGCGGAGAACTGCTGTCTCACATAGGAGAGACAGACACTGATCCACAGTTCCAGGTATGTCCATCTTAACTTTGATTATTGACCTTTTTGGTGGTAGTGTATTTGTGCTGTGTAGCACTACAGAGAAAAACTTTCATGGGAAATACTGTAGTCTATGTGTAAATTAGATGAAGTACATTATATTGGCTACGATTGTCAATTGTTGCCATGTATTGTTACTTGGGGATGTTCAAAAAGCATTATATAAACAAGACAACTAAGACAAATTACAACCTAACCTTCCTAGAATATTCTCCTTGTAGGGGGAAATGGATAACTACTACAGATCTGTGAGAATAGTACTTTATCTCAAGAAGAGTCATTTGAAATGAATGAACGAAAAAAATGAATAAACAAATACATAAACCTTATTTAAATGTTAACTTTGCTATTCAATATTGATGCCTGCTTAAAAAAATGTTTCATCTAACTATAAAGCAAGTAATCTGTGTGTGTGTGCGCGTGTGTGCGCACGCATGCATGTGTGTTTATTGCATATCTTGAGAACCATTCATCTGATCTACTTCACTCTTGGTGGGTATATTGCTGGGGACCCAAAGATGTGTGGTGTCCAATTTGGTGTGTTTTGGACATGCAGCAGATTCAGGTTTAACAAATTTAGAACAAGTGAACAGCGCCTGGTGGCTCTTTGCAGTGGTGGGGGTGGGGCTTCAGGGCTCTGCAGAGTCAAAAATGTGGTCTGCAGCTAGCCTGCCACAGCTTACTGACTGCATAGCACTTTTGCTGCTTGATGCTGGATAAGCTAATGTAACAACCAAACTCTTCTTTGCTTCCCTGGAGTCAACAAGCACAAGCTGATACAGGAACAATAGCACTGTTCATTGTACAACAAAGTGTTTTAAGTTCATCGCAGGAACTTATAACACTAATAACTTTACTGCCAGCAAAGTACCACCACTGTTTAAATCCATGCTCTACTTTAACTTTATAACAGAAGTGGTTATGTCAAAGCAGGCAACTGATATGCCTATTTGGAAATTAATAGCCCTGCTAAATGTAGTTCACTGGTGATTGAGACTTGCCAAGACTTACATGTGTTTTTCAGGGGCGGATTAAGTGATTTAAGGGCCCCAGGCAGTCTTTACTTTACTTTTCACCCTTTCTCTAATTGAGAATGTTGGTCTTGGCAGTGGTAGAAGACGTACTCAAAACTTTTTTTTTTTTTTCTTAAGTAAAACGTATTAACTATTAATAGTAAAGCTATTATTGCTGCAAAGTGCAAGGGCCTCTAAAAGTTTTTTTGGGTACAATAGTAACATAAGTCAATATTTTTCATATCCAAACATAATAATAAGTCTATAGCTGTTTGGGGCTCTTTTCGTTTGGGCCCCTTGCATTTGCCTACATTGCTTAAAGGAAAAGTCTGCCTCTGGTGTTTTTTCCCGTGAACCAGAGTGTATTTCACCAGTGTTTCTGATCGTGAGTAGCTGCAACTTGAGTGGGTGACACAACTATGTTGTGACAGGTTACAGGTGTCTTGCTCAGGAACCAAAGAAGTGCAGTTGTTTGAATGAGCGGTTCCTGAGAAAGCTGCAAGCAGAAATACCACAGGCTAAGAAATCAGCCCATTCCAAACAAGCACGATTTGAATGTACACTAGTTAAAATGGATGGCTTTTGAAGTGTCACATTTGGCACAAGGGTCAAGTGTCCAACCTAAAAAGAATAAGAACGTAAAGGTAAGAAAATAGATATGGACTAGTGTCATTGGTTGAACTATAAAACTGTATCATGTGCTTCCTTTGTTTCATGTCTATATTTGACAGTTTCTAGGTAAAGGATCTTTCAGGGGTGCCAGATGGAGAGTCCCCTTTTATTGTCAAATGATGGTAACAAATGTGTCCTTGAGACAAATGCTTCATTCTAAAATGCCAATCAAAACAAACAAATCTCTTAGTCAACAAGGATGTAGTAATAATCCAGTCCAACAAAACCATAACTTGTGCTCTCAATCGGGATTCAATTCAAATCCAAATTGCTATCACATGACTCCAGAGAGGTTATAAAGTACTGTAGGTGGCCCGTAGGAACAGGGGCCATAGCATATGTTCAATACTCCTTCACTCTATCATCATTTATATAGAATAACCAATAGCAGGTCATGTCAAGACAAGTTTATATGCATAACCCAGTATCACATACGTCTTAAAAGGCCCACAGCAGTAATTGTGGGAGTTGCTGTAACCCTGATTCAAATGGGCCATATCATTAATAACTCATAATTATTCAATAAAATCTCTACATGTTGAATATGTCAAATATATGATTCTCAGTTAAGATTCTTCCAAGTTGTACTTTGAAAAAGTTTATTGTTGCTCTTCATGCTTGCCATGAGGCGACCATCCCTGACATGAATAAATTATATGAGGTGTGGGTTAGAATCCTGAAACTGGTATGAGGCTAAAGCAATCTTTGTTGGTCAAATCAAGTGGATATTTTTTCATAGTTACAGTATTAAGTTGGAAATTCCTGTCTGTTACTATCTCTTCACTGCTGCTTATTGAGGGAATGCTCTACATGGAAACATAAAGAGGACATTTCACACTGAAAAGACTGAAACTTTAGAGGATGTATAACTCAGGCTGCTGAAGCTTCAAGCCACCAATAAGTCATTCATTGTAGCATCTGAATAGCATGACAATGCTAGTAGTGTATTAAAATTGATCTTCCTGATATTGTTTAGACAGAGTAAAGCTGCCAAATCCTAAGTTCTCTTACCGGCTCATGTTTTAAAAGGTCTAGTGTGTAGGACTCAGTGGCATCTAATGGTGAGATTGCAGAACTGAAACTTATTCCACTTCTACCAATAGATGCCCCTAAATCCTACACACTAGACTTTCAAAAGTCAACGTAGTTGAGTTACGTTTCAAAAGTCAACAGCTGGAGCAACATTTTCAGATTTTTGGGAGTTCCTCAACAGAATAGAAGAGTATAACTTTTAAGCAGAGTGGCTCATTGGCACACAGTGAAAGAACCTCCCTTTTGTGACAATTAGATGACACAAGACTAAGGTAGAACCTTTCAACTTTGACTGGAGGCAGCATTGAAGAGATAAACCAATCAAACATCTATCGAATATTAATAGTTTTAATAGTAATATCACTCTCTTGCCATAGTAAATAGTTAATTATTCTTATTTCATAATTATTCTATGTGATTCCAAACTCTCAAATTCTCAAACACTGTCATTAATAACCAGAAGTGTGGACTCAAGTCAGACTCAAGTCACAAATTTAGATTCAACTTGACAAAATCAAAAAAGACTTGCAACTTTGACTTGAACACCAATGACTTGTGACTTTACTTTGACTTTAGCATTTTTACTAGAAAATACTTGATCCCCTTCCTCCTAGCCCCAAGATGTTATCTAGAAAGTTTGCCCCATATCAGTTAATTTCATCAGTCAGCTATCATGAAAGCTGTTAATTCCCAGCAAGTCGACACTTAATTCCCCCCAATGATCCAGTTTGTTTGAACCAGTGTGACAGCATCCAATCAAGTTGCAGGAGAGAAACATGGAGAACTAATGTTTTGTTGCTGAGCACCAGTTGGAAAAAGTTATGTCAAAGCTAATTTAGTTTGCATCCAAAAACTATGTGGTGGTCAGCAAAAAATGAATTGCAGTCTGCAAACATGCTGGTAAAAAATTATAGACAAAGATGCAACAACTTCCAACTTCGCTTGACATTTGAAGTTTCACAAAGAAGAGTAAAATGAGGCTAATACTAACATAATTAGCAAGCTAATGCTTAGCTAATATTAGCTTAACAACCAGGTACCATTATAACACACTTGTTTTAACAAATTAATTCAGATTTAAAAAAGCATTTATGATTTTGGAAATTCAGTGTATTATTATTATCATTATTATCATTATTATTATTATTATTATCATTATTATTATTATATTATGTTGTTAAAATGGCATTACTTTGGTGAAGAGCCCAGCATGACCTGTTTAGGACTCGAAAGTCAAAGTTTAAGACCTTGAAATGGACTTGAGATTGACTTGGGACTTGGGACTTGTTATGAGTTGTCAGTCATAACTTGGGGCTTGACTCAGGACTTGAGTGCAAAGACTTGAGACTTTCTTGTGACTTGTAAAACAATGACTTAGTCCCACCTCTGTTAACAACTGTCCCCCCTTTGCCTATGAGTAAATAGTGGTCAGTGCTAAGTCATGCTAACTGCTGTGTGTGTTTATTGTTGGCAGGACATGCTGATGCAGTTGGCTAAAGCAGTGGCTAATGCTGCAGCAGCTCTGGTACTTAAAGCTAAGAACGTGGCTCAGAAGACAGAGGATTCAGCCCAGCAGAACAGGGTCATTGCTGCAGCCACTCAGTGTGCTCTTTCCACATCTCAGCTGGTGGCCTGCACCAGGGTGAGTGCTCTACGTGAGATATACTGTATCTACTCAGAGCATGACAGCAGCCTTAGTGCTCACCATTTGAAAGCTGAGAACAGTTTAGTTGTATGTGAATGCAGCTTAAGCTCTTGTTCTGACACTATCTTACCACTTATCCAGGTGGTGGCTCCAACCATTAGCTCCCCTGTATGCCAGGAGCAGCTGATTGAGGCAGGCAAGTTGGTAGCCAAGTCAGTAGAAGGCTGTGTTGAGGCATCGCAGGGGGCCTCCAACGACGAGGGCCTCTTGAAACAGGTGGGCGTGGCTGCCACAGGTGTCACTCAGGCCCTCAATGAGCTGCTTCAACACATTAAACAGTATGCCAGCGGAGGCCATCCTATTGGACGTCATGGAGAAGCCACTGATCGGATTCTGGATGTCACTGAGAACATCTTCAGCTCGATGGGAGATGCTGGTAAAGTCATGGTCACAGGGCTGACACACATCACGCTGTTTTTGCTTACAGCTGGGCATCAAAAAGATGTCATTGATCTTTCCACCTCACCACAGTTTATTTTGGATTAACATACTTTGACAGCTATTGTCCAGATGGCCTTAAAATTTGATGTAGCTTGATGTTCCTCAAAGCCAAAATCAAGTTAAAGGTATATTATGTAAGAATTGTCTTGCTATTTGTAAAAAGTGTTGCCAGTGAAAGCAAAAGCCAACCCCAGATTTACTCTTGTTAATTATATTTGCATTTTTTTGACTCTGTCGACAATTTTCATAGCTTCCTTTTGGATATGTGCTGCTAACAGTCAGGTATCTGGTCGCTACTTTTTATAAAGGCTTGACCTGTGCACTGAGTCCAGGAATGTTCCACACACAGCAAAATAAGACAAAGATACACTACCACACACTGAGAGTGGGTCATAATGGATGATTGAATTGATTGATTGATTGATTGATTGATTGATTGATTGATGAAATTGATTGAATTGTATTTCTTTTATATAAGTCAATATTGTTTTTTAGAAAAATTCTGCATAGTATACCTTTAAATTTTTTGGACCCTCCATGAGCTTTCCTCTAACACCCATCTGAGGTCAAATCATCATTTTTGTATTGAAGATATCTGATGGCCTGTATTCTATGAAATGCGGATATTCATGGTCTACAGAAAATTAATCATGGATGTATTCTGAAAACTGGATAGCACATTCTACTGCTGTGTTCACACTAAGAACCCATTTCAATTTCAATTTTATTTATAAAACCCAATATCACAAATCACAGTTTGCCTCAGAGGGCTTTACAGCATATGATATCCCTCTGTCCCTGGACCCTCATAGTGGATAAGGAAAAACTCCCCCCCAAAAAACCCTTTAACAGGGAAAAAAATGGTAGAAACCTCAGGACTAGTAACTGAGGAGGGATCTTTGTTTATTGCTCCAATGATGCAGTGCAAAGTCAACCAATCATTTATTTGTTTCTAGCTGTGGTGTTATTTTGCCAAGTTAGCTGAAGCTGTGCTAGCTTTCTGTGTATTGCAGTGCAAACAGGAATACAATGGGATGGTGAAATGTGATGTTAACATGGGGCTCAGACGGTGATTGATAGAACAGATATTTGACCAAATACAAACTTTAGAATATGTTCAGTCGAGGTGCTTTGCTATGAGTAGCAGAGACACACAAGCCCAGGATGACATAAAAACATCAGTGTTCTTGAGCAACACTCCAAGGTCAACTCTGCAATAATATAGCTGGCCACACTGTTGCTTTGTGGCTTAAAGTGTGAACATTGTAAGAAAAGATGTTGACTTAACAGGATATTGCAGAATGTAGTGGCTCAGTGTTTGTTGAGTCAGTGAAATGTTCTCATTATTGAAAAAAAAACAGCAGCATTTTGAACTCCTCTAAAGGCAATGCTATGTAACAAACTGTTGTATGTTTGTTGTTGCATCTACCTAACACGTGTATCGTGAGCTGTATCAAACATTGTAACATTGCTTTTAGACCCTCACCAAATTGAAAACTACATCATATTCTCAGGGGAAAATAGCAATATACTATACATGTATATATTACAGCTTGAAGATATCTAACAATGATAGCAGTCCCAAAGGTGGCATTTTCCTTCAGTCACACAAGTTTTCTTGTCTCCCTCTCGTTGAATACTCCAGGTGAGATGGTTCGTCAGGCCCGTATCCTTGCCCAGGCCACGTCTGATCTGGTTAACGCCATCAAGATGGATGCAGAGGGAGAGTCAGACCTGGAGAACTCACGCAAGCTGCTGTCAGCCGCAAAGCTGCTGGCTGATGCCACTGCTAAGATGGTGGAGGCAGCTAAGGTCTGCCTTTGTCTTTCTCTTTCATTATGTCTTAATACAAAGAACAGGCTTCCTTATTTCAATCAGCCTGTTAATTTAATGTATAATGATCTGTATGCTTCCACCTCAGGGTGCAGCAGCAAACCCTGACAGTGAGGAGCAGCAGCAGAAGTTGCGAGAAGCTGCTGAAGGTCTTCGCATAGCCACCAATGCTGCTGCCCAGAATGCTATCAAGAAACGGCTGGTCAACAAGCTAGAGGTAAAAAGGAAGGAGGAAGAGCGAAGAACTACTGAAGTCTGTGTGACATTAACAGTCCCTGCATGTGGTTTTGTTGCCTACATAGAATTACTGGATTGACCAGTGGAAGCTTTCTTAACAGGTCTTCATAAGGTAGAATTCATTTGAAAATCAGCTTTTAAGATGAGTGTATCATTGACAGTGACATCCAACCATAACTGGAAGTCTATATATAGTTAGATAGTTATATAGTCACAGCGGCGGGTATTGTTTTCACCTTGTGAGTCTGTGGGTGTGTTATCATGGCAAAATGTGACCCCTACTGTTGCAGGAACTACCACAGAGGAAGTTTGAGGTACTTTGGCAGGTGTTTATAGTAGGGCTGCTCGATTATGGAAAAAATAATAATCACGATTATTTTGATTAAAATTGAAATCACGATTATGCGGCACACTTGATGACTTACATTGTTTACTCGATGGCATGTCATTTCTGTCTCTACATGCGCGTTTAAAATTCTCCTCTGCTCTCTGTATCGGAGTTCGGCCTCGATGCGCGCGCGCACACACACACACACACACACACGCAGGGATGGGCAGTATTTCTATTACTTGGATTTAAAATACGTATTTCAATTACATTTGAGTATTTTGTAATTTGTATTTGATAAGGCTGATAAAAAGCAAATGTAATTTGTAGCAAAATACTTTTGAATGGAGTAATTTTGTATTTAAAATACTCAAAATACTTTCTCCACAATTCAAAAATCAAAAATAATAGGCTACACATTCTTATAATTTTGGATGTAACAATATTTTTTTTTTTTTTTTTTTAAATACTTTTATCTATATGTTTTTTTAAACTTGGGCCATTCCATGTGCCCTTCAATGACCTAGTGGTCTGTTTTACTGGACTGTGCATAACATAGGAAATTGTGTGTTGTTGTGGTTGATACTTGGGATGAGTATGCTACAAATTAATTGCCTCACGTGGGATCAATAAAGATGTCTGAATCTAAATCTGATTCAATAAAGAATATTTTAGGGTAGCCTACACCAAATTGTGAGAAAACAAGCACAAATTTGCAATAGCTGCAACCAAATTTGCTACTATCACACCATTAATGGATGAATCATGGTTGTTCTTTCTGGCATAATTACTCATGGTCTCTAGTTGCAGTATGCAAATTTTGACCATTTGTAGTCAAGGACTTTTAGAGTTATTCACGAAAAGCTTTGTGGACCGACCAACAGAGTGACCTATAGAGCTGCAGGTTGCTGCTAAAAAGAAAAAGAAAAAAAGTATTTTCTGTATTTGAAAATACATGTATTTTATTTTGATGCATTTTCTGGCACCACTATTTTGTATTTTATTTTGATACATTTATTTGAGGGGTATTTTGTGTTTTGTATCAAAATACATTTTGATGTATTTTTGCCCATCTCTGGACACGTGCGCACGCACGCACACACACACACACACACACACACACACAGACCAAGCTCTCTTGTTCTCCTTCTGCCATTTTCCACACACTGTTTTTGAAATCTTCTGCGATCACCTGCCCCTCGCATTACTCGTAGTTCACCTATTTGACTGGCTCAGGGAGTGAAAAGAGGAGAGGAGGGGAGTGGGAGGTATTGCCTATGCATGGCTTCCAGGTGCATTTGATTTGCACACAAGACAACAAGAGTAAACTGACAAGAAGCGCATTATCATTTTATGCCGATTATTTTGTTTTCATAATCGTTGAAAGCCCAAATCATAATCTAGATTAAAATTCAATTAATCGAGCAGCCCTAGTTTATAGGTCTGTCTGTCTGTGGACAGAGTTTTGCAAATTTTTGTCACCGCGATACTGTCAAAAGCATGCAAGATGCAGTCATGAAACTTAGGGCACGTAGTTGAGATCGCAATTAAGGTTGAATGCAAAGATGGGTGTGGTCTGAGCAAGCTGTCCTTAAAAAGTACGTACTGTTACATGCAATATGCACACAATCAAGACATTAACAATCAAAACATTATGCCCTGAACTTTGACCCTCTTACTTTTATATCCATTACCTTGGAGATATAACAAACACCACTTCCTCTGTGGAGTTCGCCAGAGAGGAAGATCAATCCGGAGAGCTCTGCTGTTGTTACATTGCAATGTATGCAGTTATAACTGCACAGATTATAGAGATTCTAACGTATTATATTTGTGACAGTGAAATTACATCAGCAGTTCTCTGTAATTGTTATTTTCATAGTTATGTCTTGTTGTTGTTTGTAATATTTAGGATCATTTTTTTCACCTAAACAATCAATATTCCTATTATGAAGATTCGACTGGTCATCACTCACTTAAATGCGCTGTCATCCATCACTCAGCTGTCAATCAGTGGTCAAGCTGTCATCTGTTTGCAGCTCAGTCGATGTATTGTCCAATGCACAGAGGATTGTGGGTCAGAATAGCCAGAAAAGCTTGCTGGACTGCATACTGCAAAATCAAAACAGATGTAGTTGAACATCCAGGTATGTTTGGCATACTGCATTTGACATACTATGTGTTGGGACATAATAAATCTTCCTCTGGCATACTATATAGTATGGTAGTATGGGGATTGGAATGCGCAGAGTATCTCATCTGGAGTGAACCCATCACAAGATTCAGCTTCAGTGCAGTTGGTACCACCTCAGCCAGAAACCCTGTCAGTCCCCCAGGCCGAATAATATGCTTCTGTTATCAATAGCTACTGGAAGTTGTTTGCGCCTGGAATTAAAAGATGTTGAAATATGTCAAACTTAAATTAGCTACTGTTTTTGTTGTTTAAAGGGTCATTTAAACTGCTAATCAGCCGATATTGGCTGCTAGTGTAGAGCCAGCGATGTTAATCAGTTATACAACTCTAAATTATATTTATTGTTTGTCATAGACAAGCAGCGCTTTAAGTTCACATCTCTGTTTCCTGTTTCTTGTCAGAATGCAGCCAAACAGGCGGCAGCAGCTGCCACTCAGACTATAGCTGCTGCCCAGCACGCTTCCTCGTCTAACAAGAACCAGGCAGCCCAGCAGCAGCTCGTCCAGAGCTGCAAGGTAAACATGACATCACGACATGGTTCTGTCTGTTCATCTCAGCACACTGCACAGATGAGTTAGAGTGGCTCTGTCTTTTAAATATCTCTCTTTTCTTTTTCTCATTTTTCTCTGCTCAGTCTCTCAGTATTATTCTTTCACATCTTTGTTTGCATCCTTTTAATTCAACAGAAATGATTAAATCTTCCAGTTTTGAGTTCAGTCAGTGATTTGTTTCATATTTACTACACAAGATTACATAACACTGATTGATAAATCCCTCCCTTTTTGTTAAGGCTCATTTCTACTCCCATTACATACAGAAAAAGACACATTAATTTCACGTGTCGTAACCGTCACTGCCCACATACTTTCATGCATCCTTTATGATAGCACAGATACATAATTAGATGGCACTAGAGGGCAGAGTCAAAAACTTTTGACAACAACAAACATGGCAACAGTGGAGGCAGTTGTAATAATGTAACTTGTAATCGAGGCAGTATTGTAGGCAGTGGTGGTCTGTGAGGCCATTAAATTATTGCAATGTTGACAGAGAATTCTTTTAACTTTTTGCCATTTTTATAATGTGTTTTTATAATGTGTGTGTGTGTGTGTGTGTGTGTGTGTGTGTGTGTGTGTGTGTGAGATCAGGTGGTGGCAGAGCAGATCCCTCAGCTGGTTCAGGGAGTCAGAGGCAGCCAGTCTCAGCCTGATAGCCCCAGCGCTCAGCTGGCCCTCATCAGTGCCAGCCAGAACTTCCTGCAGGTGACTGTTCACCAGGGGCTTTATTCACACTGTAACACTTATGAACAGTACAGCACAGTAATAGTGGTACAGCAGTAATGTATACAGCCACTAACAGATTACATCTTAATGCTTGTTTATTGTTTTGTGGTTGTTCAGATAATGTGATTTATCCTGATAATGCAGCACTGTAAAGTTGAGATGCTGGCATGCTGTCTACTATGATGGAAACAATGGTCAGCATTATCAGCAATGGCTAGATTTCCATTAAACTGAATGTTTTGTAGACTTTCATGGCCCAGAGGATAAATCCATTTTGATGAGCCCTCTGACTTTTATCATACATTTGATTTAAATTAGGCCACTTGCCTCCAGTGGACTAATGGGCATGACTTTTGCAGAGAAAATTCATGTTCACTAGGGATTTAATGACCCTTTACCTTACCTGTAGTTTCACCTTTAGGACAAACATGAGATGCTTTAGACCCACTCTACGAATGACTATGACTGTCGTATTGTGGAGTTAATCTTGAAACCCAGTGGTAACAGTCTGTCTGTTCCTGTCCTCTTCCAGCCTGGTGCTAAGATGGTCACAGCCTCCAAGGCTACAGTTCCCACCATCAGTGACCAGGCCTCGGCTATGCAGCTCAGCCAATGTGCTAAGAACCTGGCCAGTGCCCTGGCTGAGCTCCGCACAGCCTCACAGAAGGTACTACACATCCCCATTCCTTATTATATTGTCTTTATTATGTGGTCTTACCCCAGAATTCTCTAACATGCATGAAAAATGCCACAGTGAGAGCTCCAGAGCATTATGTAACTTAATCTGAATTCTTCCACAGATCATATTTCATTTAGTTTCTTTTTTTACTCGTCGTATGAGCACTGTAGTGACTATACCGATACTGTCAGGTCTGGTCAAGTCTTTAAAGAAAACTTAAACCACAAAATGACTATTTATACATCAATTACTCACTGTGTGTTAATGTTGAATTTGTGAATAAAATGTTGTTTATCTCAAATGCCTCCATGGCCAATGGAAAATCCAAGGAGAACATGTTTTATGAATTGAAGTACATGTGTACAACATTTAACAACAGCAAAATGATATCAAAACATCTGTTGACAAGCTCTCACTCAACTTATGCAGTATAATCCAAGTCTCATTTAGCCAGTTGTATCCTCAGGACTATACATGCATTTTTACCTAAACATTACAATATAGAACACTTCCACCTACAAGCAGCACACCCCTTGTGTTTAACCTTGAGCAGAGTTCAAATGCACATACGTGTACAGGCATGCTACTGGGCTGTGCATGAGACAGTTTGTACTGACATCTTTATTGAAAGGTTTTAAAATACATGTGTTCGGGAGGTACGAAGCATACAACTGGATAAATGAGACTTGGACTATACTGCACAAGTTGTGTCAGTTTGGATGTTACAATATAGTTTTGCTGTTTAATACAGTCCCCATTTACTTAAATTCAGGAAAAATGTTTATCTTGTTTGAAATCTTAACTGGACGCATGTGAGAAAAACCAATGAAATGTAACAAATGCAATGTAGCAAGCAATTGATAAACAGATGGTCATTTTCAAGGTCAGGTATTCCTTTAAGGAATCAGTCTTAGATTGATGCTTTGTTCAGTGGGCCATAGTAGAGCTTTTGAGCTAGTATCTGTTTTTTGATGCAGTACTAATATGAATTTTGTAGAGGTAGGCAGTGCAGGATGGTAAGTAAATAACGGGCCTCATGCAAGAACATCTCAATTCTTATGCTCTCTTTCTTTCTGTGACGTTTGTTTGCGCAAGTGTTCCAAGTCAGATTAAAAAAACTCTTAAATGCACAAATCATACATCGCTCCTTTCATCCTGATGAATGCCACTTGATCATGAGGGGGTGTGTGTACTGAGATTTCATCATTAGCACAATCAACACCTGTAAAATTGCCACATAAGACAGCTTGCTCTGTGTGTAGGCAAGTTTCATTCATAACAGGGCTACCAAAAAGTTAAAAGAAGAACCTCATATTGCAGAGCTTCAGAGGTCCTGATGTCAAAACAGGTGTAGCAGTTTCAACTTTTATGTTGTAGGACCTGAAACTACAGCTGGGTGATACGGAAAAAATGAAATCAAGACATTTTTGATCAAACACCTCTATCGATATTGTGATAATAATCTAGGTTTGACTGTGGAATAATCACTCTACTGTAATGCAGCCCTTAAAACCAGGAAAAGACAACACTCATGATATTACAAATCCAAAATCTCAGACCATATCTTGTCTCATAGCATGATATTGATATAATATCCATATATTGTCCAGCCCTACTGGAAACAAATATAAAACATTAATAAGGCAGCTGTCAGTGACTTGTGACATTTATGTGAATGGAAGTTTTAGTATGTTTATCTATTTATTTATTTACGATAATGTTTTTGTTAAATAATCCAAACAATTGTTGAAAGTATTTATAAAATGTATATTGTGATATAAATCCTGTAATATTAATTAACTGTAGCATTGAAGAAATGCAATAACCAATCATTCTGTACATACATGTCAGTACAGAATTTACAACAGTGTGCTCTTGAGTGTGGGTAGATTCTGTTCTTACGGAAGAACAGATTAAAAAAAAAAACACTGGTGAATGTCAGAATCTTTGTGATTACTGTGTAAAAGGGTAAAGAAGAAATGTCCTCAGGACAGTTGGTGAATGAAGTCCAAACTGTGCGTTGGTTTGTTTTATCAGGCCCAGTGTTAATTGATTTTTAAGAATTGTAGTGTGATGTAATAAAGTTTTTGTTTTACAAAATATATAAACATGAATTGAAGTGTGACACTAACAAAACAAGTTGATGTGTTGATTGAAACAGTTTTGCTCCTCTATAGAAGTAAGCTTTAAGTTTTTTCTTGTGTGAATAAGAATAAATTTTACAAGCCTGGACAGACAGCACTGAAATGTGTGTGTGTGTGTGTGTGTGTGTGTGTGTGTGTGTAGGCTCAGGAAGCGTGCGGTCCATTGGAAATAGACAACGCTCTGTCAATGGTGAGAGGTCTGGAGAAGGACCTCCAGGAGGCCAAGGCTTCAGCTGAGGAGGGCAAACTCAAACCACTGCCAGGAGAGACGGTGAGACAGATGAGATAAGATGAGATGAGACATGCTTTTTTTGTCCCTGGAGAGATACTAGGCTTGGGCAATAGTGCCCCGCCCGGCTGCAATCAACTTGAAACAATACAAAGTCAACACAACGGCACAGTGGTACACCACAGACATAATATATTGCATACAACAAAACAAGTGTTGCACATGCCTTGAGAGAGATATAAATACACAGGCACTGTAGAAATGAGACAGAGGTCACAAAACCATAATTCATAATCCAGAAAAACAAAGTACAGCAGTGCCTGCTTGCTTACCAAACAGTCTGTATTCCTTACCAGGTTGTGCCATGCCATGAACTGAGTGTATGAACAGTATGAATAACAGTTTGTTTCTTCTGCTGTCTCCTTGCTGTGTTGTTCAGCTTGAGAAATGCTCCCAGGATCTGGGTACCAGCACCAAAGCTGTGAGCTCAGCCATCGCCCAGCTACTGAGTGAGGCCACCCAGGGCAATGAGAACTACACAGGTGGGTTTAAAAGAAACACATCTCACAAGAGCAACAGAAAAATAAATGTCACTCACTCAGGGCTGGGCAATATAACAATTATGTAAATATATTGATATATTTCAAGCAAAATATAGATTTAGACAACATTGTTTGTATCAAAAGGGTCAAGTTGCGTTACGTAATGCATGCCAATGTGCATCTCTCCTCTCACACTCTCTGCACAGTGCTCACTCACCAGTTCTCCAGCAACACTCAGAGAGAGACACAAAGCTGCTACTCTGTTTAACCTGTCTGTTAATTAGTCTACAGTGGCACATCGGTCTATATGTTGCACATGCTACGCCAAGTCAGTCTGTGAGATGAATGAAATGACTGCAGTAGCACATGTGTAGTACCCCTGCATGTGTGGGAGGCAGAGCTGCTTGATTGTGCCAGGTGAGCATTTGTTTGGTAGTATGTGTGTGAGGTGGATCATAGCGCATCGCTGTTCTTCTTGGTAGTTGTCGTCTATTGTGTGACATTGAGACGGCACCTGGATGTAGGCGACAGATGGGTTTAAAAAATGCAGCGACAACACAGACGTTTCATATACAAGACATATATAACGAGGAAGAAGTGTCTCTTGCTCCTTCCCTCCCTTGGCCTCTCTGTTGATGCTGTGTACATAAACAAGATTAATAGCCTAAATAAATAAAAATATTTAAATCATTTTGCAACACTAGAATCATTTGAAAGGCCATGGACATATACAATGAGGGCAAAGCATCTCTCACTCCTTTCCTCCCTTGGCCATGCTGTTGCCTCGTGTATCACCATTCAGCCTGAAAATACCAAAATATGAATTTTTGTCCATATGGCCCAGGTCACACACACGCACACCCAGACACACACACACACACACACACACACAGGACCCATACACATCTATTTGGAAGAGATGTTTGAGTGATGAAGCTGCCCATGGTCAGGTGCCCTGGGAGCAGTTAGGGGTTTGGTGCCTCAGGTTGTTCAAGGTTACCTCAATTAAAATGCAGTGTTTAATTTTTTTGTAAAAACAATAAAATACATCTTCAGCAACCTGTTAAATGGACTCCACAAAGAACTATAAAACACTGTCATACAGAGATCCACAGTGTTCAAAATATATGTCATTAATTTTAAAATAACCATATGAATAAATACTGACAAAATACACAATATCACTGTGAAATTCATATACATTTTTAAAACTCAGCTTACTTCCTCCCCCTGCTGTTTTTTGTTATAACATGATAATTTAATGCAGGTCGTTTGTATTTTCATTCCAGCTATTTTTTTCCAAAGTCTGTTCTTATTTCACAGTTTCATAATGCCGTGGGTTAGGGTTAGTTGTTTCAGAGCAAACAACTAATTACATCACTGAGAGAAATTAGCTGCAACAAACTAGAAACTGCATGAGATAACATGCCATAATGATAAGATGTAATGTGTTTTATTACTCCAGATTTAAAGGTTATATTGTATCTTGTCTGTCTTTTTGTGGTTATTTATTTCATAACGTCGCCTTTATTTATTAAATGTTTAACACTCTTGGTCTCCTAATAGTCTCCTCTAATAGTGACAGGTGTGTTCATGTGGTATTTATCCACTACACTCACTGAAGTTACTTCCCTCTCTCCTGTTGGATCCAGGCATGGCAGCCAGAGACGTGGCCCAGGCTCTCAAATCCTTGGCTTCAGCCGCCAGAGGAGTCGCTGCCACCACTGACGACTCACCAGCGCGTAACGCCATGCTCGACTGTGCCAGTGACGTCATGGACAAGTCAGCCAACCTGATCGAAGAGACCAAAAGGGCCATTGCCAAGCCAGGAGATGCAGAGAGTCAGCAGCGGCTGGCCCAGGTCAGACACAGACTGAGGGACAGATACAGGTGTGGGGGTGTCAGTAATGCAGAGGGCCACAATGCTTAATTCCTCACTGACAGCTGCATCTTTCTTAATTTAGATAATTTCAGAATGAGCTAACACATGCTGTAGATGGAGGCTTTAGTTTTGGCAGGCATGAGTGACATGAAAGCATGAAGTGGAGCTGTTTGTGAAATGAGACTGTTGGCAGATGAGTGACAGTGGCTCAAAGAGAGACATGAACTCTTTGTTTGACTCATGTAAATCAACACTGATGTGTGTGTCTGTGTCTGTGTCTGTTTGTCTGTGTGTGCAGGTGGCTAAGGCAGTTTCTCAGGCCCTGAACAGATGTGTCAACTGCCTTCCTGGCCAGAGGGATGTGGACAATGCCATCCGCACTGTGGGTGAAGCCAGCAAGACTCTCCTGGCTGATTCTGTAAGTAAGATTATATTACTAGTATTTGTATAGATGAATTGTATTATATATGATCAAATAACTAGCATGTGAAAAGGTGCTGCTCATAGTGATAAACCCACAAAGAAATCTCACAACTATACAGTTTCCCTCAGCTGTGTGACACTTTTAACATGTTTTAGGTCATTGTTTTGGTTTTATGACCCTCAGCTTTTCTGTTTGGTTCAGCCTCTGTGCTCTCATCAATCTGGTTTCCAGCAGGCAGTGTTTTCTGTGATAGGGCCACTGTACACTGCCTGCTCAGTAGCAAACAGCAGAGTTAGAAACTAGCTGGTAAACAAAGTAGAGCATTTAGCAGCTGAAGAGACTCAATCAATTTATTGTGTAAGTCTGACTAAAACCTGACTTTAGAACAGATGTAAATGTGTTATTTAAATAAAATAAATAACAAAAAAGGCACATAAATAAATAAAAAGAAATTCATTAAGGAATAAGAGAATAGAGCTAGGGGTTCTCTGTAAGGTTAAGGTCCTCTGCTAACTTGCAAAGTTTCATTACATTCTTTTTCTCGATATATTTCAGTGATGAAAATAATGACACATTTCCTTGTGAAAAACAGAAATTTGGTTTAGATTTTATGAATCTGTTTTTATATATAAAAAACTTTCCAAGAATGATGATCAAGTTTTGTTAGATTAGAGAAACTGACAAATTTAGGAAACAACCAATAATGCAAATCATCATCCCAAAAGGCATGAGCAAAATTACATTAGCCCCTTTTCCACCGCAGGAACTTTTCTCATTTACCCGGGCTTTTGAAAAGCCTCGGCGCATTTCCACAGAAATTACCCGGTGAAAAAACTTTCCCTCAACCCCAAACTTTCCCTGAAAAAAGTACCTAGTAGGGGGGTCGGACTTTTCAGATTACCCGGAATTCTAGAGGGGTGGGGCTGTGTGCCAAAGAACGCTCATCGGTAGAACACACACTTGCAGCGTTCCGCACTTCCTGGCACGGGCAGCCACTGCAAACTTTATTTGATTTCTACAAGCTTCACTTTATTTGTGTTTTGATTAAGGAGGGGTACCGACACCTGGTACTAAATTAGCCCCGGGGCTAAATGATCAGAGACCGTAGTGTTGATACGTAAGCGCTAACGGTATCGGTTCTTTTGTGCCGGCGCTGAACTCCTCCACATACACACACACACACACACACACACACACGCCACACACGCCTATATGACACTGTAACTGGTGAACAGCCGAGCAGCCGCGATGGAAACAAAGTAAAGATAACTCGAAAATGAGTTGACAGCAGCTACACTCGTTATTGTAAGTGACATTTACCCTTAGTGGATAAGAAGCCAATACTTTATCAATACATGTGTTCAGCAAGCATGAACATGTAAACATGCAGACAGCGATATTCAATATGCTCCGTCCACAGTCTCTCATCCACCGACACGAACGTTATGTCTTACACAAGGACAGCACGGTAGTTCAGCTGATAGTGAATTGTTACTAATAAGCTCAAATGACAGCTGTCTGTATGTAGACTAACTTAGTTTGACACTTATCTTAAAATACTTTTAAACTTAGCTGCTGGCTGAGACAAACAGAACCAACTCTCTACACCAGCATGTAACCAGCCAAGCTGTCGGTGTCAATACAGGGCACACGCCTAATCATCTACGTCATCACGCTAATTTGAATAAATTTTCCGGAACTTTGAGGTGCAGTGGAAATGCAAACCACACAGATTACCAGGAATTATTTTACTCAGGTAAATAAATTCCTGGTAATAAAAGTTCCTGGAAATGTTGGTGGAAAAGGGGCTATTCATAAAAAAAAAAGTTTGTTAGTTTCAATGTGTTCATCACAAAACAAGCAGTTATTATAATCTAAACCAAAACGACGTCTTAAGAATTCAGCAGAGAGGTATATTTCATTGAGAATCTTAAAGTGAACCTCCTTCGCTTTTGGTTCAACAGGAAACTTGAAGAATTCCGATCTCAGACTGTCAGCTTCTTTTTTAGAGAAGAATTGTAGAATTGAATTTCTGTTTGATGAGAACAGATATAATTTTTTAACAAAGGTTTGCCAGATTGTGAAATTAGGTAGTTTTAAATTAGTGATGTTATGACCATTCAACAAAAGCGAAGGGATATTCGGTACATTGTTTTAAAATAAATGATATGACATCACAATAACAGATTGAGGGATTGCTTTGATAACATTGTTGTACTGACCTCTGTTATTATTCAACAGATAGGATTCGTTTTTTTTTAGCTTGGCGCCACCTAGGGTCAGCGGTGTTGCTCGCACTGTCGCAACAACCAAATTGACCGTGGGGATCAGAGATAATCCATAAAATTTAGGCTGTAAAGCCACCAGTATACCTCTATGTATATGTAGAATGAGAAGGTGTGTGGACACTCTACTAAATAAATGAGTAAAGAGACTGAGCAACAATTATCAGATTTAACTGAAGAAAAAAAACAAATAGTAATGCAAATAATTATAGCAGAATGCACTGTACCAGTACAAACAACTCACAGTAAATTATACCAATATGTACAGTATCAGTACAAACAATACTAGACATGTAAGGGATAATGTATAGTGAGCCGGTGACTGTTGAAAAATAACTCCAAACAGGAAAAAAAAACCAAAACAAAAAAAAATTATTTTACAACTGTCAATGGCTCACTATACATTATCACGCTTAGAACATGGCTTACTACTGAAAGATTCCAATGTTACAACTGGCGTCAATATTATTAAATTGCTGGCAGAGGAGACAGAGGAGAGGCGTTCACCAGACAAACGGGAGCGGAGGAGAAGATTTTACTTCACTTCTCCCGGTTGGAGATGCTGGGTGCCCAGTAGCTGCGAAGGCTGCCCTCATTTATGGCCAGTGACCGACATGATGTCCCTGCTCTCCAGGCCAGCTTGGGAGAGCTGTGTGGATTAACGTTAACTGATTTTGATGCTCCGTTGATAGCTGCCTCCATGACAAGAAAACAGAAGGAAGGGAGGGGGGTATCACTGTCAGAGGGCTGCCGTAGAATGGCAACGAGGATGTCAGCTGACCAACACTCACTACCTGGTCCCTGGTTGCGGCGATTTGCGATGCTGGCCAGCTAGGAATGAACTAGCAGCCAGTACAGTACAGTCCTCTCTCGTCTAGCTAACATTTAGCCGTGTAACTTATTGATCCATTAGAAAGAAAGCTAGCTGGACATCGGTTTTTAAGCCTCTTTGGTCACGGAGCTCCCTCCATCTCTTGAATGCCTGACTGAGGTTTACTCTTGTTTTTCCTCTTCTTTTATCAATCTCCTTTTTGCTCTTCTTTGCCTCCTCAGACAGAGCTTGTTTTCTTCTGCTAGGCCGTTTTTCACTTGTCTCCAAACTTTGTCCGTCTGCTATTGTGCTCTTGACTCAGCTATCTCATGCCCAACTCCTCATAAGGACCAGCTCCAGTCCCTGATTGGCTGACTGACCAGTTTCGCAATACATGACGCGTTTCCTGCCGTAAAGCAGATTTTTTCCGTGAAATTTTGCCCCCGGTGGCAGAAGTTTATTACAAAGATTGCACAGCCACTAAGTAACCTTTGTCAACGCTGATAGTCTGATTTTACTGTGGCCACTACCCCGTGCAACCCACATTATTTTCATAATGATATATTTAGGAGAAGATGCTATCTGTTGCCTCTTTAAGTGCAACACAGACCATATTCCTTTTTCTAGCCAATTTTGAAAAAATAAGGATTTGTTTTTCAGTAACACGCACCTGCAATTCCATATTGGGGTGTTATGGGGGCTAAAATTGTGTTTGTAAATTATTTTCCAATATTGTTGTACCTGTTAATGGAAGAGTGATTTGATGGGGAGCTTATTTAATTCAATGTCATATCTAAGGAGGAGGTTGACGCAAGTTATTGTATTTCAGTATGTTCTTGTAAATTGACCGCTATTATAAAACCAGGTTGTGTATCTGAGATGATTTGTGTGATACCAGATTTTAGTCTGTTTGCATAAATGTGTGTAATTTTGTAATCGTCATTGAGTGAGGTTATAGGTCTAAGGTTGTCAATTAGTTTGGGATCTTTGCTAGGCTTAGGGATGAGTGTGATTATTCCCTGCTTCATAGTAGTTGGAAGAGTTTTAGAATCAAGTATTTCATTTAGCATATTGAAAATAAGATCTTTAAGCTAAATTCAGAAATGTCTATGAAAATTGCTAGTTAGACCATCTGAACCTGGAGATTTGTCTCAAGCTAAGCTTTTCATTGCATTTTGCTACTTCACTCATATTGATGTTTGCCTCGCATACTAGGGCTGCTCGATTATGGAAAAAATCATAATCACGATTATTTTGGTCAATATTGAAATCACGATTATTTACACGATTATGTCTTTGAATTTGGAACAGCATTTATTGAACATGTTAAAAAACACTCTACTGTTAAATATATAAAAATATCTTGTAATGTAGTAGCAGGGTCTGACGTTAAGTTTTTTTCCTACTTGCCCTGTTGGGCAAGTACTTCTCAAATCTACTTGCCCCATCTAAATTCTTACTTGCCCTGCTTAAGAGGTTCTTTTTCTGGCTGTGTGGTGCATATTTTCGCTCATAACTTATATCTTACGTCAGCAGAGATGATCAGCCAATGGAGGCAGCAGCACATAAAAAAGCAGCACACTGCAACTGGCCCCTCCGAGGACAGAAACAGGAGAGGAAATACACGATTACAGGCCTGGAATTAAGTCATTTTTAGGGCAAGGCCACTTTGGCCATTGATAAATACAAATTTATTGGGGCATCATGGCCAAAATGTGGGGCACCAAGGCCAAAACAAATGGCGCAATAACAATATGTGCTAATTACATTGAATGAAGACAAAACAATATATGTGTTGAAAAACAGTATTGAGTTTATTAAAACTGGGTGTGCATGACTGGGGATATATCTCGTTTCTTGCTGTTTTGATTCATGTCCCTTATTTTTTAAGTCTTTGA